AGTTTCCAAACATTCCTTTACACTTTTAAAATTACTGGAGACTCTAAAGAGCTTTTGTTTGTGTGGGTCACGTATATATTAATATTTACCATATCAGAAATTAAAACTAAGAAAACTTGAATATTCACTATTTAACAATAGAAACCTATTACTTGTTAATATAAATGATATTTTTATTGAAAAACAAGCATACCTTCTAAAAAGAAATTTAGTAAGATGAGTGATGTTTTAGTTTTGCAAGTCCCTTCCCACGTCCAGGCCTAACAGAAAACAGATGAAGTCTCATATTTTCTTCTGCATTCATTTTGTTACCATACGTTGTTACTGTTGTGTAAGAAAAATCCAGACTTATACAGATAGAGTTGAAAGAGAAAGGAATATCTTAATAGCCTATACAAATAGTTGTGGATATTCTTGATACTATTCCCAAACTCATAAAGAAATAGTTAAAGATTAGTAGCAATGAAGAACTGCTACTAAAACTGTATCAAAAATATTTCACACTCTTACAATTAAAATCCACTGGTCTCTCTTGCAATTTGGAGGGATCTTGACTCGTGCATTATTTCTTAACATCTTATATTGGTTATTTGAAAACTGTAGATACATTCTACTATAAAGTATTTAAAAATCACATTCATTAACATCACTAGTAGTAAAAACATCTTTAAGGACTGGGAAGCTGTCCAGCTCATGGTGACAAATGGAATTCTAATTTTCATTCAAAATCTTGGTTTTTATCATCAGTTCATTTCCTTCAAATAACAGGGTCTCTTCATTCATTTGTTGGGTGGAGGGGTACTGGGAATTGAACTGAGGACCTCACGCTTGCCAGGCAGGCGCTGTGCTCGTCATTCACTTTTTGGGAAAATGTTTCCCTGGCAGGATGAGGTCAGAGGGTTGCAAATTCAGGCCCAGCCTGGACAACTTAGCAAGACTCTCTCAAGAAAAGAAGAAAGAAAAGAAGAAGAGAGAGAGAGAGAGAGAGAGAGAGAGAGAGAGAGAGAGAGAGAGAGAGAGAGAGAGAGAGAGAGAGAGAGAGAGAAAAGCGAGAGGGAGAAAGGAAGACAGACAGACACACTAGGGATGTAGCTCAGTGAGAAAGCCCTGGGTTCTATCCCCAGTACTAAAAAAAAGTGGTCCTGATACTGATGATTCCCAAATTCGTACCTTTAGTACTGACCTACAACTCTGAGCTCCAGATCACATATCCCGTTAGCCACTTCATAATTTTATTTGGATTTCTAAAAGGCAACTCAAACAATATTCTTCTAAAGTAGAACTAATTCCTTCATCTCCATCTCTAGACTCTGCTCAATAAACAGCTCTATCCGGGTGCTCACACATAAACCTAGGAGTACTCTTGATGACCTGTTTCCCTCACTGCCATCACGCAACCCATTAGCTAATCTCTGACATTATGCTTCAATTCTGTTTCCTTCCCCCCACCACTATCCCTGCCATCCTGGACCTCATATGGGCTTCTGAAGTAGCCTTTGATACCCCGTGATTCTGCTTACATTTTAATTGTCCACAGTCCATTACAGCAGCTAGAGCAACGTGAACACACAGACCAAATCATACCACTTACATATTTAAATAATTCATTCAGCAGTTTCCATTTAGATTTAGAACAAAAGTTAAACCTCTTTCTATGATCCCTAAGGCTTTATATGATATGCTCCCTGGCCACCTCTGCCCCTCAGTCACAATGACCCTGCTGCATTAGCTTTCCGTTACACGGATACAAGTCCTTCCTACCTCAGGACCTCTGCATTTCCTGTTCCCATGGGCTTAGGGAACCTTCTGTTCCCTATTTCTTTACACGGTTCCTTGTCATCATCCATGCCAGCTCAATAGTCACTTTCTCATTAGGGATTATTTGACAACTTTCATCTAAAATAGGTCTCTCTCCAGTTATTTTCTACGACTTAATTTCTATCACAGCACTTATCACAACCTAAAATTATTTTCTTTGTTTCCTGTATGTCTCTTCCCATTAGATTATAAGTATAATGAGGCAGGAATATGTCTTTTTAAAAGAGATTTATTGAGACAGAATTTATAGAACATACAATTTACCCATTTAAAAATTTAAATTCAATGGCTTTTGGGATGTTATGAAAATTGTGGCAAGTTTTATGACACAATTTTAACTATTTTGAGTTCACAATTCAGTGGCATTTATCACACTCACAACACTGTGCAATCAGCGTGGACCTATTTCTAAAACTTTATCACCTCACACATGAACTCTGTAACCATTACTCAACAGTCCCCCTAACTGTTCCTCCCCCAGTAACCGCTAGCCTACTGCCTCTAAAAATTGATAGTTCTACATACTTCACATAAATGAAACCATAACATAGTTTTCTTTTGTGCCTTGCTTATTAAAGAGGTAGACATCAGGGATCTTGTAGATCATATTCACTGCTGTTATCTGCTGCAACCTACCTCAGTATATATCCCTTACAGGAAATGCTCAACAAACAAAACAATTAATTTTAATCAAGTCATTTAACTGTGTGTGTGTGTGTGTGTGTGTGTGTGTGTGTGTGTGTAACTGGGGACTGAACCTCGGGAGGACTGAGCTATACCAGCGGCTCTTTTATTTTTTTAAATTAAGTTTACTGGTACAATTTAGATATACGCAATGATCACATGCATCACAGTGAACTTGTACCTGTACATGATATATCTTAGTTCCCTTTTTTCCCCTCCCAGTCCCTCCCCCTCCTTATTTACAAAGATTTGTTTTCATTTTATCATTGTTTTTCTCATTTTTTCCTTTCCTTTCCCCATTCCCTTTTCCTTTTGAACAGTTTCTTCCTATTTCCCAAAATCTATTATACACTTTGGTCCTTATTTAGACTTTCAGTTTCTCATACCAGAGAAACAATGTGTTGTTTACATATGTGTGTCCATTTATTTCACTTAAGAGTATGGTCTCAAGGATACAGTGGAGTACTACTCAGCTATAAAGAAGGATAAACTTGAGACATTTACAGTAGTTCTTTTTAATTTTAATTTCTTTTAAAAAAATCTTGAGACAGGGTCTTGCTATGTTAGCCAGGCTATCCCAGAACTTGCAATCTTCTTGTTTTACTCTCCCAAGAAGCTGGGATTGCAGGTATCACTATTCCTGGTACACTGCCCACCCCAAGTACTTAGGATGAACCCAGAGCCTTGTACCAGACTATATTCCCAGCTACTTTTTAAATTTTAATTAATCATTTTCTTACATTATCATGGTTTATTTTGTGGCACTGGGTTGAACTGAGGGCTGTTACTCTGAGCTATAGTCCCAGCCATTTTATTTTTTATTTAGACACAGGGTCTCGCTAAGTCACTAAGTTACCCAGGCTGAGCTGGAACCTTTGATCCTCCTGCCTTAGCCTCTCAGAGTGCTGGGATTATACGTATATACTACCATTCTGGCTTTACCTGGCGACTTTCTAAAAATTTATTTTTTATTGTATACATTTAAGGTACACAACAAGCTATATCAGTCTCATATATATATGACACACACAGTAAAACAATTACAACAAACAAAATCTCTATCACCTTCCAGAGTCATGTGGTTTTGTACGGTAAGAGCACCGAAAATCTAACAAATTTTCAGTATACAATATTACTATGACTCTCATGCTATACATCTCTAGACTTGTTCATTATACATAACTTCCAATCTGTATTCTTTGACTTACTTCCTGTTTCTTCCTCTTCCCTAGCTTTGATAACAAAACTGTTTTGTACTCTGTATTTATTCAACTTTTTTTTGTTTTTTAAAGATTCTGCATATAACAAGGATCATACAGTATTTTTCTTTCTTAGTCTGGATTATTTCACATAGCATAACATTATCTAGGTTCACTGTCTCAAGTGGCAGTATCTCTTTTTTATTTTATTTATTTATTTATTTTTGGTACTGGGAATCAAACTCAGGACCTTATGCTTGCCAAGCAAGGCACTGTGCCACTGAGCTATATTCCCAGCCCTGGTATCTCTTCTTTACTTTTTTGTCCTTTTTTTTTTTTTGAGACAGGGTCTCACTGTGCAGTCCAGGCTGGCCTCGAGCTCACTTTGTAGCCCAGGCTGGTCTCGAACTCACAACAATCCTTCTGCCTCAGCCTCCCAAGTGCTGGGATTACAAGCGTGTGCCACCACGCCCGGCTCTCTTTTTTAAAGGCTAAATAATATAACACACACACGCACACACACACACACGCATACACACACACACACACACAAAGGTGTGACTGAAAAATATTGTGAATGCATAAATTTTTAAAAACTACTACAGTAAAAGATACACTGCCATTAATCTCTCTCAAAATACTTCCCCTCTCTTCAAACACTTATCCCACCATTCTTGTCACTTTCTGAAGAGGGTTACCTTCACTACATCTTAGCGTCTTCACTCTTACAATGATGCAATATCACCATTTATTTATTAAACATCTCTTTAGAACTTGGTGTTTCAGGTACGAGCACTTATCAGTGGAAATATAATGTACAAATACTGTACATTATTGTCTCTGCTCTCAAAGAACTTCTAGTTCCTTTTTATCTGGAAATGTCATCTTCTTTGGTTCGGTACATTCTTAGGATGGGAATATTTAGAACAATGAACTATATGGGAAGTGAGGGAATTTCTGCCATGCCTCTTAGATCACGTGACACCACCCTGAGCTGAAAGAGCCAAAGCCACACTTCTCTTCAAATCCCCTTGACCATTTTTTGTCCACTGTTCTCTGCAGGCTCATTATGAGGACCATATGGATGGACATATGCATGTTCTTTACAACTGTAGTGTTCTCCATAAATGTAAAAGTACTGTAGTTTTTGTTTTACTAGCTTTTACGCTCTGGAAATTAAAAGCCAATTACTATGTTCCACATAAGTTCTAACATAATGTACTTACAAGCTTCATGGCAGTTATGGCAGGACCTCATTCTTAAAATCAGTACTAATTACACTATGTCTGAATTTGACAGGCAAATTTCTACGGCATCCCAAGCTGACCAATAAGGAAGGCTCTTTCCAACCGAAGGGGCTGTCACTTGGCAAACATTACTACATGGTGCTGGAAACAAGGCATTTTGCTAGACTCACTTTCAATCCGTATACCAGAGCGTGCACATACACACACACACACACACACTCCTTCAGACAGCAGTGACGTGAAGAGGCCGAGCAGGCCCGACCAATGCTCTCCACTCTTCAAACAACACTTGGGGGTTTCTGCTGAGGCCCTGCCTTTTTAAGCCTGTGCTTTCAAAACGTGGGCTGGACTGATCCCAAATACTGAAGTAACAAATATTACTAAATTCTGTCATTTCCTCAACCAAAAAGTGATTTTACTACTACTTCTGGTTGTGATGAAAGGTTCTATTGACTATTCAAATCCTCAACCAAGTTATGGATGCAGTATTGAATGACTTCACTCCCTCTCCTCTGGCACTTTAACACATGTCAGTGCTTTCATCCACCTCCACTAATGTGGCTTGTAAATCACTGAGGTGGGGCCATTTTAATAGTTCGGTTTGTTCACATCTCTAGAGATGAGGCACAAATATGGCTGGCCGAGAAGACAAACTCCCCTTTGACAACATGTAGTAGTGCATATAAATAAGCCTTCGAAAGCTGGAAGTATCTTATTGCTATACTGTTTGGTTAGGAGCCTTAATAAGTAATGTTTATTTGATTTGTTACAAAAAATGTGATAAAGTGATGGTAGTAAGGCCAAAAGACAAAACGAAACCTTCCCCAAGAAAGGTCACATACTTGCTAAAAGTTTCTATCTGAATGTTTAAAATGCGTTTCCTCAATAAAGTTTTAAAATCTAAGAAAGTCTGTTTTAAAGAAATTTAGTGTCCCCTTTTAAAACTGCCACAACAGTGTTGAAAAAAATGCCAGAGAGTAAGGTACTTGCTTCCTGCGGATTTTGAGTGGTTAACCTACTAATCTGAACACACACAGTGTCAGTCAGCTTCTCATCACTGTGCCCAAGTACCTGAGAATGGTTCTTAAACTTAAATAAGGAAAGATTCACTCTGGCTCAAAGTTCCAGAGGTTTCAGTCCATGGTCAGCCAGTTCCACTGCTCTGGGCCTGTGGCAAGGCAGAAACATCACTGCACAAGGGTGCAGAAGAAAGCTGCTTACCTCAAGGCAGCCAGGAAGCAAAGACAAAGGGAATGAGCCTGTGAAGGAAGGGACAGGGACCCTCTAAGGTCATGCCTTCAACATCCATTCCCTTCAACTAGGCCACACCTTCTGTTTTCATCTCCTATAATGCCATTAAATTATGATCTCCTTTGTGTATTAATCCACTGATGAAACTAAAAGTCCTCATGAGCCAATCACTTTCCCTAAGTCCATCAGTAACCAAGTCTTCAACACAGTCGGTCTTCTGGGGGACATTCTGGTCCTAACTATAACACACAAACACGAACATACACACATGCACGTGCGTGCGTGCCGTCTTGTAATTAAAAAAGAACTTAAATTTGGAGAGGACATGAAGTTCCTAGAAGCAATGTACTTACTACACAGATGCATAAAGCTAGTTTAACATCTTGTGGCCTTGGTTCACATAAGATGAAAGACCAAGGCCACTTAGCAAGTCTTCTCATGTGGGATCGAACAGTTGCTAGAGCTATGAGCCTAATGTGGGGCACTGACCTTCCTGTTTCCCACAGCACATAGCCTCCACTGGGTCTTGCTCACAAAGTGAGCTGGGCTATTCTCATCGCCTCTTTACAGCAGCCTTTGCACTGCTATCGGGCCTTTGAGGAAAGAGAAGTAACTATGTACAAGCATGTGTGTATATATACCTGTATATGTATACACACGTGGGGTGTGTGTGTGTGTGTGTGTGTGTGTGTGTGTGTGTGTGTATGTACATATATATCTGTGTTTTGCAAGCTGGGATTTATAAGTAAATGTAGGCATTTCAGCAGGGCCAGGTTTCACCTGAAAATTCCAATAATCTTCCAACCTTAGAATCTACAGCATAGCACAGGAAATAGAAAATGGGGAGAGGAGAAAGGACCTTCTTCCCTGAGATCAGCATTTAATTCTAGTAAATGATGTCCATATATCCCCCTTCCTGCCCGACTGTGGACCCTAGCATATCTATGTCTTCTTTCTATCTGGACTGCCTCCGCTGGTGGTCCTGCCTAATTCATTTACTAATTTACTTCGTCATCCTTTTTTTTTTTTGTTTTGTTTGGTTTGGTTTTTCTCCGGTACCGGGAACCAAACTCACGACCTTGCGCTTGCCAGGCAGGTGCTTTGCCGCTGAGCTAAATCCCCAGCCCCTCGTCATCCTTAATATGGTTTTAGTTTAGGGACTTCTTAACCAGTTCTGTCAAAGCACTGCTTTTCCCAAGGCACAACACAACTGTGGTCAGTACACTGTGAGCTAGGTAGTTCTGACATTTTTTTGTTTGTTTGTTTTGGTTTTTGGTTTTTTTCCAGTACCAGGAATCGAACTCCCAACCTTGCACTTGCCAGGCAGGCGCTGTGCCGCTGAGCTAAATCCCCAGCCCCAGTTCCAACGTTAAAGTCTGTTTCTTTGACTGGAATTCCTAACTGCCAACACATGAGGGAGGGAAGGTGTCAACAGTGAGAAGAACGGCACGTGAAGAGGCGAGTCACAGGCTAGAGCCTGAGAGCAAGGCTGCCGGCCTGGGGGTAAGAACGCGGGCTAGACGGAAAGTATCAGTAAATAGCAGAAGAGCAGAGAGGACACTGAGGGTGGGGCTAGGAAGCAGATGATTAATTGAGCACTGCAACTAGAAATTTGACCCAATTTCAGAAAATGATAACAAATCTCAATAAAATCCAGATTAAACAAAACCAACATTCAACCGAGACTTGGCAAGGGGAGGAAGGGTGATGGTCACACTACACGGAGGACTAATTCTAGATCGATCGGGCATGAATAAGGAAATTATTCAGCGAGATTTCAGATTCATACAGATAACAGGCAACTCAGGCTCATAAAAACAAAAGCATTATAAACCTTATTATTTCTGTAAAACAGAAAATTCTAAGGATATAGCTGATAACATCTTTAAATAACAGCCAAGCTGGGGATACTGAGTCCATGGGACAGTCCAAGTGAAAGGATGTCCAAATAAAAACAGATCACTGAAGCTGGTCTTCCTTTACCACAAGAAAATTTATGGAATGTCCACCTCTTGAAGTAGAGCCAAGTAGTGTACTAAAGAAATGCAGCATATTTCTTTCAAGGAAATACAAACCCAGGCATCTGATAGTCTTACTGGGGCATGTAGAAAAACATTACTCAAGTGGGGCACTAACTGATAGGATGTTGAAAGACCCATAAAAATCCAAGATGGGTGGGAAGGAACATGCACTTGATCTTTTTCCGTTGGGGTCTAGATAATGAAGTGAGGAGACTATTAAGGACTTGCCAAAGGCACTGAACTTTTACTCTATAAACAGTGATGCAAAGTGAGTCTCTAGAAGTGGTCTAAGAGAAGAACGTTATTACCAGTCAAGCTGTAGAGCAAGAGATTACAAAGTCCACACATTCAAGTCCAAGCCTACCAGCAAGTAAGAAGACAGAAAAGAGCTTCTGAGTTCAGCAGGAAGATTCCGATTCGTACCCATTGCTTCTGTGAGGTCACACTGACACAGAGTAAGACTGAAGCCAAAAAAGAACCTGATATTACTAATGCACCTGGTAACAAAAGAGTCAATTGTAGTACTTACTATAAAGAAAGACGGTAACAATCCAAAGTAGGCGAGTCAAGAGTGACTTACCTGTGCTATATTTTTATTCAGAAGGTAGACTCCATAATCAAACTGCAACTTCTCTCCTCCTTTTGGATATAGTGGGAACCTATGAAAGGTAAATACAGATCAGAAGTTTTCCAAGACCAAGTAAATAAAACCTCCAAGCTATTGATAGATACTGAAATTTCTTAAATATAAACATCTGAAGATTGGACTAAATCACTTAAAGTCATTGAAATCTACTAATGTCTTTGTAGTAATAGCTAAGTTAGGACAATGTTGCTTTCTTTTAAAGGGAAAATTGAATAGGTCATGCAACAAGAGACATCTAAGGCAGTAACCTACCAGCTTCCAAGAGATGAAGCCACTGTTTCCTGTTTACATGTCATAAACTTGATACCCTACATCAAGGTCTCAGAATTTTTTTCCTCTAATATATTGAATCTGACATTTCAACTTCTCTTAAACAGGAGAGGAAGGTTAAGGGGAAAAAATCAGACTGAAAAGAAAAATATAGAAGTCTGTTTCTTTTTTTTGTTGTTTGTTTGTTTTTTCTGGTACTAGGAATTGAACTCACGACCTTGCGCTTGCCAGGCAGGCGCTGTGCCACTGAGCTAAACCTCCAGCCCCTAAAACTCTGTTTCTATTAGTATGGCCAACCAGATAAGTACCAGTATAGCTAAAATTCATTTAAAAATTCACCATGTTACAGAACTTGGATGCACATTCTCTGCAGCAATGTTCTCAGGCCCCAAAGCTCCTACACATAACATTACTTCACAGTGTCACCTGACTCACTGATGAACAAGGACACAGAATCTGGGTCTTCACAGAGGAGGCGTTGTTTTAGAGAAGTTTTCCTTGCTATTTCCCTTTCTTCAAACTTATAAGTGAAGAAGAAAAGATTAGTGCATACCTGTGTTCTAATCTTCTTTATAATTCTTAAGATCAAATACAAGTCCTATCATTGCAAACATTTCTTTATTCACAGATGAGTCACCTCTTAGGGTCATGAAGAAAACATCATCTTCCTTAGTTTTGCCATATACAATTATGCTCAAGAATAAAATAAATCTTAGCTGGATGTGGTGGCACATGACTATAATCCCAGCACTCTAGCAGGCTGAGACAGGAAGATCTGGAATTCAAGTCCAGCTTGGGCAACTTCCTGATTTAGCAAGACCCTGTCTCAAAATAAAAAAACAAAAAGCGCCAAGGATTTAGGTCATTGCAAAGGCCTTAGGTTCAATCCCCAGTACAAAATACAATAAAATAACCGAAATGAATGGTAGGTAGCAATTACTAAATATTCTTCGTTCAATTTTCCTAAAGCTTGAGCAAAAGAGGCATTCCCTAAAGCTTAGAGGACAGCATTGTCAAGGAAAATTTTAAAAAGGAAACAATTTAAGTTTTTATTAAATTCTCAAGAGTTGTTCACTTTATGGTATCCAAAAGATAAGTTCTTTGTGCTGTAAAATTACAGGCACTCGGGAGGGAGCAAGGTCATGAACTAAAAAGTTATTAAGGGAAATCGAATGCTTTAGACACCCAGGAAGAAGACATAGTTTTGTATTTAATTGAAACAGTAAAAAGTAAACTAGGACATGTATTTGCCCCGAACTGGTATGAATAAAAATGAAAGTGAAGCAAATTCAGAGTAAGCATAGTGCAATACCAGGTTTTTGCAAGGTGTCTGGGAATCATTCAAACTCATGCAAAGAAATTACATATGTGCAAAATTATAACAGCGCATTTTAGAAGAATCCACCAGAGTTGTTATTTTATAAGCCATCACGCATAGACAATCTTAGTTCTCCAAACCTAGACGATCTTCATTTTCAAGTTATAAATCCAGCGACTGTTTCATATGTTGGAAGGGTAAAGTGAGGTCAGCATACATTGAAAAGCAAACCGCTACACTCATGAAAACCTCTAAATTCATGAGCTCACATGTGACTTTATTCTGACTTCACTATGACTTCTTTTAGAAAGAGCCACAGGTACATGAGGCATCAAAACAGATCTAAAGAATGATTAGAGCTAAAGGTTCAAATAGGGCAACGTTAAGAAAAGATCAAATATTACAGTTTGATGTTGCTTTCAAATTCTTCATGGGTCACTTCAAGTTGAACAGTTTAATAGTTTATAACCATCACACATGCATCTTACTTTGTAAAAGTACAGGGATTTAAAAATCTATTAAGCAATCTAGAAAAAAATGGAACCCATTTTAAAGGGTAAAACCTATTACCATCAGGATATAAGATACAAATAAAAGGTATTTTATTTCAATAATAGATGAAGAATAACATTGGCAAACTGCAAAAAACTTAGATAAGAATGTGGTTATTGAAGTACAGTATAACCAGAAACAATGTCCTTTAACACCACAAACAGGATTCAGTAAATGAAAGTATCCCATTAAGAAACTGGGAGATAAAACTATGTATTTCCTATTAATTTAGTTACTCAGTATCACCTATTAACATTAAATGGCAAAAAAATGGCCAATATTATTTTTCAAATTAAATTAAGTGTTCAAATTACTTAAAAGTTTCACTGCCTGCACATGGTGAAAAATCACTGAAGTAGAAAGCAACAAATAGATGAGGTGTGTGAAATAATTCAATCCGAGTCTTACTGTCACTGCACCTACTTGGTAGTAAGGACACTGCAGACCTCCAAACTTAATTGCTGGAGCATAACTTTATGTACTCTAAATAATTATGATTGGGAACTCTACAATTGGCTTAGAGCAGTTTGCAATCTTTTCCTTTTTGAGTCTGTCTCAGCTTATAATGTTACATTTTGTGATTATTTGGTTAATAAGTGTCTCCTGTTGGCTGCAGCAGGACAGGGATAGTGTTATTTTGTTCATCTTTTGCCTTGCTAGTTGTGCCTAGTACTGTTACTAATAGATACTTGATAAATATATTTAAGAAAATAGACCATGTGTGTAAAAGATCTGGAGCTCTTTAGTATACAATTTCAACATGACTGAAAAATTATGACACAACTACCAAAAGCTATGTGATCCCAGAATGCACTAACAGAAGCAGAGAAGCTAAACTGGGGAATGTGCTAGTGACAATTACTTTGTGACAGTGTTACTATTATTTAGATGAAACAGACTTGCCTCGGTCACCTACTTAGTAAGTGCAACAGACATGACCTCATTATTAGGTCCCCAAGGATAAATGCAGTATTCTTCCTGCTGCCTCTGAATCCTTTAAGGAAGCACAGGGAGGATGATTAAGCTAACGAGAGCCACTTTTGAAGGAATGACTGACGGCAACCAGAGGAGTTTAGCCTGGAGGACAGGTGCTTGAGGAACCGCAAATGGGGGACTTTCAGAGAGGAAAAAGAAGTTAGTTCGTTACTTAATTTCAAGTAAAGAGAACCCGAGTGAATGGCAAGAGCTATGGGAAGACTGATGTGACTGCAGAGGTGCTCAAAGTCCCAAAAATACTGAGTAGAGACAGCCAGTCAGAGACGGGCAACTAACAAACAACGGGCAGGGAGTTGAACGGCGGTTTCCCCAAATTTACAGCCATGTCCTATTCCCCAGGAACCTGTGAATGTGAGTTTATTTGGAAAAAGGGTCGAAAATATTAAAGGATCCTGGGATGAGATCATCTTTGATTATCCGAGTAAGCCCAGAGTCCACTAAGTGTCATTATAAGGGCTACAGGTACACAGAGCAGGGGCAGTCGGGAGAGAGGGCCTTGTGAAGCTATCGGCAGGGATCTGTTGGTAAAAATATTATTTCTCTGAAGTAAGGCTTATCATTTCACTTCCACCCCTGCTTCCTAATCTGTTGTTTTACATTTCCACTCCTCTGCCTAGCTTTCAAGGCTTCAGTGTTTGACCTACCTGCCCAATTTATCAGTCACCCACTGCTCATGTGTTTTCCTCACAGTCATGATCAACGAAGTTCTCCACCTTTGCTCACTTACTGGGGCAAAGCATTTCTCTTTCCTTCCTATCTAAATGCTATGTCACCCTTTATAAATTTTAGTTCAAGACACCATATTGCTTGCAAAATCCTACTTGGAATCTCCAGGCCTCATTGATTCCCCTTCACCTTCTTGTTACCTACTTAATGCTAGAGATTGTTTGCTGGTTGATTCCACATTTTTCATTCCATACTCCAGTGGCAAAGCATTGATTTGCCTACACTTCACAACCCATGTGCACATAGTTCTTCTTCTGGCGGTCTCATGCTTTATTTGGTGGGTTATGTTACATTTAAAGAACAAAAATAAAACTGAATTATCAGCCAAAGAACATAAAACTCGCTTTGAAAGACATTTTCCACAAAAATCCCTGTGAAACAATTACACCACATTAAATTATAAATCAACTCTGGTATGCTTGGGAATTCAGAAATTAGGATAGATTATTATGTTAATACCTACCTTCCTCTTATTAGGAAGTTTAGAAGACCAGCCTTTATAACTGTTTGAGATGGCCTATCACGAGCAACCAGTTCTTGGTTGGCTTTGCTAAATATTAAAGCAACACGGACTCCAATGAAGAAGTTTATTTTGTTTTTATTTTTTTGTCTTTTTGAGACAGGGTCTTGCTATGCAGTTCAGGCTGGCCTTGAGCTCACTTTGTAGTCCAGGCTGGTCTCGAACTGGCAACAATGCTCCTGCCTCAGCCTCCTGAGTGCTGGGATTACAGGCATGTGCCACCACACCCAGCCCAATGAAGAAGTTTAAAAAATGAACCAACCAGCCAACCTCCTCATTCAATCCTCCGGGGCAAAAGAAAAAAAAATTAATATGTAAAACGTCACTAGCACACCTCTAATCTCTTCCCTACTAAGGAAAAGAGATTAATTACTAAACTGAAGAACCATACTAAATTACTTAACTTCAAGAGAAGGATAAAGTAAAAAAACTGACTAAAAACCAAAACCAAAACAAAACAAAAAAAGAAAACACAAACACCATAACAAATTATGTTATGCTTTCTCAAGACTAAAGACAAAACTCTCACATTTTTTCCCAAGTTGCATAATATCACTGAAATTTTAATCGTACTGCATTACACAGTGACAATAATTCAGTGAAACTTCAAGGCAGACCATAGGTACGTAAG